TTGTTGTGGGGTTGTCCTTGTGTGGCAGTGCTTCTGTTTCACAGACACACACACACGCTTTAATCCCTTATCAGAAAAGGAAGGCTGCGCTCTTTGCTCAAACAGTCTCATGAAGCAACTTCCGCCGTGAGCAGCTTGTTTTCAGACCTGCGTGGGGGATTTTCACACTTCTGATGTCCCCAGAGAGAGGCCGACACATCTGCACGGGGGACGAGACAATCATCCAGCTGTGGTCAGGAAGGGTGACACTGATAAAAAAAAAGATTAAAAAAACTCTTGCTCAGGCCAAAATAATTTTTCCACAACCTCCCCACCCCGGCAGTGCAGCTGGCGTTGCCATGTTGATGACGGCCCTCAACTCACGGTCTACGTGTGAAATAAACAGCCCGTGCATTCAATCGGTGCTAATGGTACAGCCGTTAAAGCATGATGCATTCATTGTCAAAGTGTTACCAGTGTGTTATGTAAATGAGTGGAAAGCAGTGTAATGTCTGCGTGTGGCTAGCATCGACTCATTTAGGCTGAGACGAGACAGCCACAATCACCAGCCGAGGGTGAAACCCACATCCTTCAGGGTCAGCCTCAAAGCAAGAACTTTGATTTGTCCTGCCGTAAATACCCAAAAGTGTGATTGGTGGCCTTGGGGAGACACGGTGCCAAAAAAAAACGTTTTCGAGCTGCGCTACGCCGCCAATAACGGGTTGATATGGGAAGTAAGAGACAGAGCGGCGGAAGAGGGTGGGAACCATAACGTTGGGGGGGGTGCCGTGGGTGGGGGTTCGGGTCTGCTCGCTGGGAGGAAGAGGACGGCAGGTGTACGAGCCTTTGCTCAACAGATGTTGAAACGTCCCCAGTGTCTGTTGAGGGCAAACGGAAGTCTGCTCGCAGGCAAGCAGGCCTCGCTGCAGCTCGCGTTCAACCGTCGCACTGCAAGGATTCAGGAGTCAGATAAGCAGGCGGCTCTTGTGCTTCACGCCTTTTCAACACTACGTTTAACACGGAAAAACCAGCAAAGGCGCATTTTAAGTCGTGGCACTATTCATTTGACTCAGCGACACAACGCTATTTTAACATTTTTTAAACCTTCGTGGCAAAGTTCTTCACTGAACAGACACTTTTTGTGTGTAATCCTGTTGCATACTTTACAGTCCAGACATAGTTTTCAGCATTAAGTGAGACACATGCACTCGCAATCAATTCTAGTCTGTTATCAGGGGCCTATCAAGTCCATTTATACGTGAATACAAATATTTACACTTCAAATATATTCAGTGCAGACTTGGGCCGGGGCCAAAGCACGTCTTGCCCTTTGCCGTCCGGATAGAGTTTCACTTTGCCCCTGAAAAAGCGCCCAGCCGTTTACTAAAAAGAGCTTGTGTTTAATGTGTCTCCCTTCGGACGGGAACATATGTTTCTTTCTTTCAATGCAGACAGAGAAAGAGAGGAGAAAAAAAAAAAAGTAGTCGGGGGGGTGAAGGAAAGGAAGCAGGTCGCGTTGGGTGATCACTCAGCTGTGGCGTCGGCGTTAAAGGCCCGGCTGTCACCTCACTGAGCAAACACGGCCTCTGTGTGGAGCTGATACGGGCTTTGTGGAGGGGAAGGCTCGGCGCGGTGTCGCTGCACGTGGTCGCCTCTCGGGGAAAAAAAAAATAGCTTCACGCCGCGCGCGTCGACTGCACTTGGATCTACGTGCGTGCGACTCAAAGCGCAGATAGCGCTCGAGTTGTTCTGCAGCAGAGATACAACGCTCAGGAAATAATACTTTTTCTTTTTTCTTTTTTTTTTTTCAAAGACACACGCACAGAAAACAAAGCAGGGCTGAGAACGGCGCACCCACTTCTTCGAAAACACAGCCATGGCGTTTGACTCCATCGTTAATACCAGACATTTTATATCAAGCGTTTTTATTTGTTCTACGTAGACCTTCATAATGCTTTCAGATGATGCGACTACTCTGAGGGGAGGCTAGTAAATCTACAACCTTTAGCATCCATTTCGGGTTAATGAGCGCTGCCGTTTAGGCCTCATGTGTGCATTGCCCCCCCTCCCGCCTCCCAAACCCCTCCGTCTCCCAGCTCTATCTTGTGGTTATGATATCATAGAGAGAAAAACAAGGGCATTCTCTTCTAAGTGCACCCTGACACATTAAATATTCATCCGACCACAGAAACCCCTCTGAAATGGGGCCGGCGTGGGGCGCTGGCCCCCCCTCTGGCCCCCCGGACCTGCAGGGTAGAAGTCAAATGTTGGCGGTCGGAGCGGACGCACTGTGGCTGCAGACGGGGTCAACTGGCCAAACGGAGCGCGTTAGCGCAACCTTTAACCGGAAGACACCGGTCTAGCGCCTTGATTAATTGGATTTTTTAAAAGTTTCTCTGAATAGTACAGGTGTACTTCAGGAATGCCTGGAATCCAGACGGAATGCAGACTAAACAGTCATTTTCATAACCAAAATGATAAAGTAAATAGAACCAAAATAAATAGTTTCTTCTTTCCTTCGATAGTAAACTCACAGCAAGCCTTTGAAGTAAATCTAATCCAAAACTGGCCGATCATGGGATGCGCATAGTCGGGGAAATATGGAGCCTCATCACAATCTCTCTAGCAGTTACGCGGCGCCATAAAGCGGAGAGGAGGTGGATGTGAGTGAGCTTTGTCCGAGAGAGACAAAAGGCGGAGGGGAGGAACGGAGATGCAGAGGAAAAGAAAGTTTTGGGTCCTCTCCCCAGTCGATTAGCGGTGTCAACATCGACCGCGGGCCCCCGGGGGTTAATGAGCGCCAGGCCTCCGCTCCTCCACAAAGAGGAAAAAAAGATCAGGCCCCTCACAGCCCACGAAAGCCTCCACTGGAAGCTCCAAAACGGCGCGTCCCTGCCAACTGGGACCCGGCTATAAGCTCGAGTCTGCGTCTGTGGGCGGCTCAATGATCACTTTCAACCCCAAAGAGCCGGCCAACTCATCTTAGGCCGCCACCGGCCGCAGAAATACTGAGCAATTATCGTTTTCTTTAAGGGTTTTTTTTCCCTTCAGTCGGTCTTCCTATTTTTTCCGACCATAAAGCGGCGGGATGTATCGTTTCCCCGACCTCAGCCCTTTGAGGTGGTGTAAATCTCTTAATAACTACACAAGGACACATATAGGGGCTATATTTGGAGGGCTGCTTCCCCTGGCCGCCCCTACCCTGGCCTGCAGCAGACAGTAGCCACAGTGTCTATGTATGTGTGTGTCTGTGTGTGTGTGTGTGTGTGTGTGTGTGTGTGTGTGACTGAGTGAGAAGGACGCAGGCCTTCATTCCTTCCATCAGTGTTTAAAGAGAAGGCCGGCTGGCCGCATGTGAGTGCGAATAAAAAAGATATTACAGAGTTTGTGTCGGCGCGCGTCCACCCATGTTTCTGAGTAACGGCACGGAGCGCAATCCATGCACACACGGGCGCACACAGACACACACGCGCAAACGCAACAGATGTGTTGATCTTAGGTGTGAATAAAGAATGTGCTGCGTTCTGTGCAGCACTTTGGCTTCGGACAGAAGGCGTCTTCTTGTTCAGTAATAAAGCGCGGCCCCGTTTGTGCATCTGTACGGCATGCGTGCGTGTGTGTGTGTGTGTGTGTGTGTCGGGGGCCGTCGATGCCAGACACTTTCTATACAGTTCGTAAAGAGAGGACGGAGGGGAGGTGGTGGGCACCAACAAATGGACAGAGCGGTAATCGAGGGGAAACTTTACCCATGGGTCAGCCTCCGAGGGAAGATATATTGCCCATGGGTCAGTGGAGAGAAAGGACGGGCAAAATCCATATTGGCCGTCTGCTTTGCCCCCTTTATATAGTGATAAAATATTCAAATCCAGCCATTACTTCACATTAGGCTACTCTGTAGAGATACCAGGGAGAAAACCACAGAATGTATACATGCCGCTTCACACTCCGTTTTGGTGCATTGATAGTTACATTAAAATCTCTTCCTCCCATTAGAGGCTCACGTCTGACATTTAACGTGTGCTCACATGTACATGCGTGTGTGTGTGTGTGTATTTCCACATGTGTGTGTCTACATAAAAGGCATGTACAGAAAGGTTTTTTTTTTTCTTTTCTCCCTGAACGGGACATCAAAGTGATAAGGGCACTAAGTGTGTTGGTTAGTTCTCCGTGGTCTGGATAAGAAAGAGATGTAGCAGCTATGCCTCACTTATTCTCACATCCTGCACACACACACACACACACACACACACACACACACACACACACACACAGTCTCTTTCTTTATCCTCTATGTTCAACACTGATGACTATATGGTCTGGTAGCCTCGTCTGGGTGGTTCCTTCTGACTAAGTGCTGTGTCAGTCACTACTGAATGTGTGTGGGTGTGTGTGGGTGAGTGAGACTGGTGGATATTTTGGACAGATTTACTTTCTTTTTTAAAAGTAAGACGGCAAGATAAAGATCACTTAGCTTCAGCAGTTCACAGCGGTGCCTAATGTCATAATTGGGAGAATATTGTTTCATATTCAGTTCAGATTCAGGGAAAACAGCGTTTCTCAAGCACTTCTTTTTCCGACCGCGTACGCTGTCGTTATCCGCGGATGACGCGGTAGCAGGTGCAGTTTGGGTAACACTTGGTGTCTAGTCGACGTATGTCAAGGTCTGTTAACATCCTAATAATATTTTTGTGTTTGCAAGCTGAAAACACGGTGACGGCGTCTCCCGCCCTCCCTTAAATAATGTCGTCCCGCGTGTGTTAGGGAGGATATGGACGGAACTTCACGGTCCAAGTGGATTTTACACTAATTACCGTTCAGACCACTGAGGACCAGCTTGTTTTGTTCAGCACTTGGAGGAGGGAAAGGTTTTTCAATGGGACTCTTGTTATTGTCTTTGCTATTTTTGTAAAACTCTGGAAATATAAAGTGCCGCCCTGCGCCATGTTCCCGGTTGTGTCGTTGGTAAACTGGCCGCTCCTTGATTTTATTTCTTACCCGTCCTCCTCATGTCGCTGTTTCAGGGCACAGAGTGAAGATAGAAGACCCCCAGAAGATGCAGTTCTCGGACAGGCTGTCAGAGATCGAGCGCTACCAGCGGTCTATGCGGATAGGCCCGGTGAACAATAACCCCCGCCCCATCCACCAAACCCACCTAAGCACCACACAAGGTGAGGACCACTGATACCTACAACCACAACCAACATCCCCTCTAGTAAATCCATCCTTCAATGAAACAAACTGGTTTTTATTTTATTTGGCCGGAGGGTAAGTGAACCCACGTTACAGTGTGGCGTTCAAACAGGCAGCGCTGCGGGTGCGTTTCCGCCCGAGGGGAAGCCGGTGTCGGTTTTTGTCCCCGGGTGCCCCTGCGCTGGTGGGTCCGGCGGCCCCACATGGCGCAGGGTTGAGTCCATGGCCAGGTGGCACGGCGGGCGCTGCTGCCAACCCCGCTTGGCCCGGGATGCTGAGGCTGGCCTCCGCACGCCGCGCTACAGCCTCAGGAATCTGACAGCCGCCCGCTACCTTGGCAATCGCGTCACTCTCAGACTGGTCGGGGGAGAGAGACGGGGTGGGGGGCGAGGGGGCTGAGACCCAGACTGAGGTGGTGCGATGAAGGGGAGGGGGTTGTTTCATGCGTGTGTGTGTGTGTGTGTGTGTGTGTGTGTGTGTGTGTGTGTGTGTGTGTGTGTGTGTGTGTGTGTGTGTGTGTGTGTGGACAGCTGCGTGGGTGATGCTTGGAGTGAGGATGAGTGTTCACTCTCCGTCATGTGTCAGAGGCTATTTAACAGCATGCAGACTAAACACACACACACCTTGACGCACACGTACACACACAGTGTGCCGATCTCTCCCACCCACTCTCTAGTTCTCATGCTAGCTAATGACTGTCATTACCTTTGTATCAGCATGCCGCCGTGTGTGGGTGGACTTCTATCGGCGTGTATCCACCTCTGTTTGTCCTTGCGCTCGGCTCGGGCCGTGCCGAATCACCGCCAAGGGCCCGTCTCACCGCCGACAGCCGACAACACAAGACCCATTGGTGTTGATTTTGTTCCCTCGCGCTGCCTGTACCGAGAGAGAGAACATTTCAGCCCTTTTAAAGAAAAAAAACTGCGCCGAAAATAAACAAGCCGGCGCTTCAACACAATACGGCCCCTGTGATGAGCACTTTCTGATCGGTTTGAGTTTGCTCCTTAGTTTGCTCCTTAGCTCGTCTGCCAATAAAAGGGCACCCCCCCCCTGCAGCTACAGGCCATGGGCTTTAGGGTTCTGAGGGTTAACGCGTGGAGGTGCAGACGAGGAGAGGCTCCGCTCTCAGCAAGATTAAGGCGAGAATCCGAGAGACACGCGGGGGCTTCAAAAAGGCTGCAGCGTTGCCACGAACACACACGCACCGAACACAACATCGGAGCTGTCACAGGCAGAAAAAGGCCTCGAGTGGCTGGAGGCCGTCTACAAGAAGTGTGTGAGACAGACGAGAGGGGAAGGGCTGCGAAAACCACACGCCTTTAATCTGAGCTATTACCGTCATGGCGGCAACACCGCAGGCCATGAGGGGTAAAATAATGAAATATCAAGAGTTGATGGGGGAGGGGGGGGGGCTTCTCCTGGTGGAAAACGCACGGGCACGAATGGCGGCGAGCGCTGGCGCGCCCCCCCCGACCCCTCGCAGGAAGCAGCGGCGCGGTATCACAAGCGAAGCTCGTGCATAAATAGACTTGTTGCAATCAATCCCATGGGGAGACGCGGAGAGGTGTTTACACATCAACAGCACACACGTCTCCGCTTTTGGCCGCCCCGCCAGACGCTGTTGTATTTTGCAGATACTTTAAATCCAGGGGCCTGTTTGTTTGGGGATTGCTGGGTGATAGATCGCCCGTCAACACGTTATAATTACACGGATTCCCGCCTCGCTGTTACAAAAGATGTTTTCCATTACCCGGGCGGGGGGTGGAGGAGGGGGGGGGGGGGGGTTTCTCCCCCTTAAAGAAAACAACAACAAAAAAGAATACAGTGTCGCCTCCTTGCTTCACACCGTCGTCCGGGCAGCGGATCGCTCTCCGCCCGATTGCGCCCCCCCCCGCCCCCGGATTCTGAAAATCTCGAATTGCACCACGGGCACATTTGAAAATACACACACTCAATTGTGTGCCAGTGTTGCAAGTTGTGCGCTGGCGGCCCAGACAGGGTAATTAAGAGCTCATTACAGAGCGTGCAGTGACAGGAATCCTGCGCGCCGGCAGACGCTGCATTCGCTGCTTGTTTTTGTTCTCGTGTGGCCACAGGTAAGCCTGCTAGACATGTGGAATGATTCTCAGCGCGGGGCGGAGGGAACGCCTGTGTGTGTGTGTGTGTGTGTGTGGGGGGGGTGAGTGGTTCAACCAGTGCAGTAAAGCAAATCTGACACTCTGACAATCAAGTACTAAATTGTTATTCTGGTTTTCAAAACCTCAAGTGAGGTACATGTGTATGCTATGTGGGTGGCAGGTTTCTTTTTTTTTCTTCTTCTTCTTCTTCTTCTCTCTCCTGGTTCTCGTACAGAGATATTTCTAACTGTGACACTGCGTTGGTGGCACGCAGGCGTTTCCACGCTCCAGACAAATCATGACAGAAATCGAGATTTTCTTCAAAGTGGAGACGGTTCCAGTTTTACCTCGTAAGGCGAAACTCAACAAGCCCCTGGCAGAGCCTCTGAAGGACCGCCCAGACGAAAGCAGCGCCTTTAAACTTAAATATGTTTTAATGGTGAGAAGTGGGAGGGGGGGGCGGCGCGGGGGGGCTCATAAAGTATAAATTTAATCATGCAAAGGGAAAGAAAAAAGAAAAGGGGTCTTTGCACTTTTGGGCTGGTGTCATTTAACATGCTATTTGTTCCGACACCTGTGTTTCTCACTCTGAAGATGAGTATCCGATACGAGCATAACGTTCCGCCATCGAGTCACGGTGCTCGGCGCTTTGATGAGGGTCCAAAAGTGTGTGCGTGTGCGCGCCCGTCTGTTTGAACAAGGGATCCAAAAAGTCCAATTTCAAAAGAAGCAAAACAATTTCTGTTTAACCACACTGCTCCAAAATGTTACCTCTGGCCTCCTTTTCTCGCCGCTGTCCGGCGTCTTCGGGCCTCTGGACCGGACTTAACGCGAGAAAGTCCCGTTTGATGGAGGACCAGCCCGACGCGGCCGTGCCCCTCCTCCCTCGTCCACACTGACCACACTGTTTACACCACGTAAACAAGCCAGCCCCCCCCCGCCCAAGGTTCGAGGCGGCACTCTGCTACCGCGGCGGCCAAGAGGCTCACACTAATTCACACATCCAGGATGACATGATCAGCCAATTAGAAGCAAGCGCGAGACAGGAAATTAGCACCGTCAGGTAGCCGCGGTGTGGACTTTAGAGTAGAGCCGTCACGCCAGTTGGGTTTCATGCCGGTTTCTGCCAAACCCGAGCAGGAAGCTGGCCCTCGGGGGCCAATACAACCAAAGGGGAGCAGGAATCTGGACCGGTACTTTAGACACGGTGTTTCACTTCTGCACTCCACTATTTACATAATATGTCAATGACTGCCACGCAGTTTATTTGTTATGGTGCCTGAAAATTTCACTTGTGGTTACTCTCTTTTTGTGACCCCCGAGATGAATAATTCAAACTGAAAATGTTTTTGTTCTTCAAAAAAAAAAAAAAAATAGAAAAAATAGAAAGAAAATCTTTTGAAGCCGCCTCCTCGGTGAAAAAAGAAAAAAGAAAGAAAGAAAAAGAGAAGTGAGAGCAAGTTGTTTTTTACCAGACTCGACTGTTTGTGTAAGTTATAATTTCACATCAGAGTCCGGCTGAGTTTTACATTTCAGCAATTACAGAAACTGCATGTGTGCCATGAACAGTCTCTATTGAGTCTGGGGAGACGGGAGGGGCGGGAGGACGGCGAGCTCTCAAAGAGAACATAGGATTTTTCAGCCCCATGTGTTTGTTTTTGCTCACGTTTTAAGTGAGGGCTCAAAAGACATATCAAATGTCCCGCATAGCTGAGCCAAGGCCGTGTTCCTCCCCTCTCTAACACGCTCCCTTTTCTCCCCTCCTTCCCTCGCTGCCGTCTTTCTTTCTGTCCTGCCTGCTCGCTCACATTCTCTCCCCGTTGCGACGCCCGAAGGCCTATAAGCGAAACAGGAAGCCGGCACAAGGGCCGGCATTCACTGTGTCTCAATGACACGCTTCATTACGGCAGGCGCTTTGCATGTCGCAGAGGCGTTGCTGGATCCGGAGTCACGAGGATGGACGCCATTTTGGCTCAAAACGTCCTCTCGGACGGCCCCTTTTCTTATCTACACGTGCACTTCAAAAAGCGGTGCATGTGTTTATTTGTGTCCACCCCCCCCCCCCCCCCCCCAAAAAAAAAAAATGGGGGTGGGACCAACCCAAAAACTGCGTAGTAAGGGCGCAAGCGCCACATTTGCCCCCTGCACCTCCCCACTTTCCCGGCTCCACCCCCCCGGGGGGGGGGGGGGGGGGGGGCGCTCCTATTAACAGGGGTAATCTGTGCCTCTGGTATTGACGTTGTCTGCCGGCCAATCAAAATATTTGAAGGAAATGTTTATTTTCTTGAGCGAATCGCACCAGCTGCTTGGAAGCAGTTCTGAATGAGGCCATTTATGTGTAAGAATTTGCCATTGTGGGGGACCTCTTGGTGACTGAGTGCTGATTTGGGTCTTTGCAGAGGAAGTGGAGGAGCTCCGGGGGGAAGCACAGATCTCACACATGGCGAGCCCAGTGCGGCCATAGGTGAACAGCCCGCTGCACCCCGCGTATTTGCCTCTACAGGAGGTTAGGAGTTTACTACGTTGCGGTACCTCAACGGCAAAGGGTTTGCATCCGTAGCGATACCGCGTGGCTGAGCGCCACCGGTCAAAAACTGCTCCTGCAACACGCTTTTCTGCTTCAAACGTTCATGTGCAGTTGAGGGAGAGAGTGTGTGTGTGTGTGTGTGACAATATGTAACATCGTTCAGAGGCTCGTAGACCCAGACGGCCCGAGTGCAGAGAGCGCCGTGCAACAACTGCGCCGTCTCAGACCCGAGAGCAAACAGCCCCCCGTTTGTGCTCGGCCCTCCTGCGGTGTGGCCCGGGGAGTGTGAAGCAGGGTCCCACGCGTCGGGCCAGCGGGGTCCGCTGCCCTCCTTTGGACAGGCCGGCGAGTGTCCTGCGCTTCACAGGTCTCCGCTGGGCCCCCGCCGGAGTCTCGCCTGAAAGACCCAAAAATATCTCCCATGCACCCATCAGGCATGTTTTTCCAGGCCAGGGTCTCACTGTGGTGAGAGAAAAAAAACGCCCCTCCTCCTTCCCAGTCCTCGCCGCTCAGTCAGCAGAGGCCGACCTGTGACAGGGAGACACATCTCCAAACCGCCAGATGTCAAGACAGTTTTGACAAGTGTGTCACGGCGAGGTGTTTTTGCATCTCGCTCCAGATTTCTATGGCGCGGGCGGTGCTTTTCCTCACCCCGCTCATACACACAAACACGAGAAACAAAAATAGTTCACAAATTCCACTGACTTATTCGCAATAAGCCGATCATAGTGCTCACCTATTCTTCATATTGTGTGTTACATCAGCCCTGTGGCAGGAGCAAATGGACACCCCCGCTCTGAAGACATGCAAGGTAGAAGAGGACCTGAGACCATGGCCAGGTGAGACACTGCGATGCCCTTCTTCCTCACTCTTTTTTTTTTTTACCTTTTTCCTCAATGGAAGCTCAGCCGCCCCGATTGGACGGCCAATCCGACGTGAATTTGCATGTGTGCGCGAATCTCTTCCTTTTGCGTGTGTCAAATGAGGGAGTTGATTGGCAGGGCGCTCGTTAGGTGCTGACACATTAAACCTCAGACGCAGCGTGGGTGGTGGGGGGGGGAGGTCCCTCGCAAGCGATGGCCTTGATCAACAAACATACCGAGGAGATAATTGAGGCTGTGTGGACTGCCAAAGAGTTTATACCTATTAAATGGTGCACTTGGAAGAGACTTGCAAGCAAGGGTTTTGAAATTAGACATTTCGTAAGCGTTTAAAATGAGAACAAACAAAAGTTGAGAGCAGAAGTGGCACAAACTCATTTTGAATTTGTGGGAGAATGAGCTCGATGAGCTTGTTCTCTTTTCTTCCGAACAAAAACACGATGCCTGAAACAGAGCTTTGACACGTGAGAATTACATATCTAAATGTCACTGAAGACATTTGTAATGTAATGCGAAAACACGGGATCTGCGGCGATGGAATTACTAAAAGCATTTGATCGGGACATGAAGAAAACGCGACAGAGATCCAAGGGATGTGTATTAAACGATGGTGCTACTTGTATTCAAATGCCTTTATCTTTACAATAACAGTACGCACAGTCCAGGGTCAGCAAAACACACATTGCGTCAGTGGCCTTCCAAGGAAGTATCATATCTCTCATAGAAAATAATTTACTTAACAAACAAACATATTAATCACGCCACCTTGTTTGTCGACGCATTAGGAAAATCTCAGGTTTCTTTTTGTAATCACAAACCTGCCGCGCACTTGCTTGTACTGCGTGTCACAAGTCGGCGACATGCAAAATCCTCAGTGCTCACGTGAAAAAGTGCCGAACAGGGATGAGGCTTCGGGGCTGTTGACCATGGTGCCGCAGAACAGAGGTGATTATCATTTGCATCCGACATGATGCTCCGGCCCCAAAGCCGTGGTGCCTAAACAAACACCTGCAGATCATTTGTGTTCATTTGGGTCTCCTATTATTTGGGCGCCGCGCTGCAGCTCCACCGTGGCATCGAGTTGCCTTGTCATCACCACGGCCCCTGTCATCAAGATCAAGAAAAATCACTGATCCCTTGCGGCATCCAGTCAGTTGGCTCATGTCGGAGCCCCTGCGGTGTAGGGGAGGAGCTGCCGGCGGCACGAGTGGGAATCGATCCCGCTGCGCCGAACTGGACGGGGCTCCCTCTCGTTTTCCTCCACTCCACTTATTTGCCTGAGTCACCATTCCCCCCGGGCGCCGGCCGTCACAGTTTGCATTGAGCCTGAGTAAACATTTCACAGGTGAGCGCCTGTATTTGCGTCTCCCCATCGCCAGGTCCACCACATGCGGGCAGGCGCGCACACGCACACACACACACACTCGTGCCGCGCACAGACATGACCGCCTCAAACTTGCCCTTATGTTAACAAACAAAATCAGTTTCTCCCATAGGCAAATGAGGCAAACCTCGGGTCGTATCTGGGTTACACGCTTGACTGTGGACTAGTGGACTTCTCGATCTGGGCAGAAAGGAGGACGGCGAGGACTCCGCCCTCGGTGTTGCAGAATTCAAATAAGCGCGTGGCGCCGCGCTCCAGAGCTTAGGGCTCGGAGGGGGAGCGCTGGAACACTGTGTTCTCTATAAAAGACCCGATTCCCAGCTACCCGCTACGCAGACTGGGAACATCACAGACTGCGCCAAGCAAGCCCTCTGGGGTCCATCCGCCCTCTGCTGTCCCTGCAATTTAGTCAACACGTTTCAGATGAGCCTAATGGAGATCATGTGTGGGGGGGGTTTCGGGGCGCGGAAGGTTACAGGCAGCTACTACTAGGCCGGGATGGGAAGAGCCGCTCTGCCAACGATACACCGCCGCTGCCGCAGCCGCAAACGGCGAGGCCTGTACTTATCCTGGGTGGGGGAGGGCGGTGAGGTATGCGACACGGTCGAGGGAAGAGGAAAAGCAGACGGCGAGAAAAACGCCGCTTTTCCGTTTCAACGAGGGGTTTGTTCAGGCCTCTCGTCCTCCGGAGGGAGCTACCGTGCGCAGGGAGGTTTTTTTGTTTTTTTTTGAGGTGGCGGCGAGGCTAATCCTGGCGCAGCGCCAGCGGCTTGATGCCGCACGAGCCCATTAAGTTGTTGTGATAAGTGTCCGGTCCTGTTTCCCCTGACGGAACACAGGACTCGATTCCCCCCACCGCAGTTTAGCCAGCGCGTTTCCACCGGCTCCAATTAAATGGAGATCATGAGAAGGGGTGGGCCGCGGGCCCGCCAGAGCCGTCCGAGTCCCAACGCCACACATCTCCCCCCCCCGCCAGCTCCACCCCGAAGCCTAAATTTAGCAGAGAGAGGGAGAGATGAAGGGACAGAGAAAGAGAGGGAGTCCGGTAGGAATTAGTGGGGCGACTCAACTTCACCCGAATCAACAGCAGCTGAAGGCTTGGATTTTCCTCGCGTGAAATCAGATATGGAGCCCGACTCTGGTGCCTGGTAGACTCTGGAAAAAGAAACATCCCCCTCCCCTCCCCTCCCCTCCCCCCCGTTCCCCCACCACCAAACTCTCTCATCCCAAAAAGAAAAAGAAATTCAACTGCAGAAGTGTGTTGCTGTGAAAGAATAAATAATAAAAAGAAGTACAGGACGGGCCACGGAAATTGCAAAGGAACAGTTAGTTATTTTTTTCTTTTTGCTGAAAATGGACACAGTTTTCCAGACATGAGGAAAAGACATTTCAATGAGTCTGTGGCACGCAAGTTTGGCATTCTCGCCCCTCAGGGCAATGGCGTGCAAGCGCTTGCTTTTCACAAATACAAGCTCTCTTTTCTCTGCCATCCAAATCCACATTTTACACTTGCAGTCATGTGGATGCATTGGACTCATGAATGCCACACGCGGTGAAAACAAATGACCATGGACGGAGGTGTGTGTGTGTGTGTGTGTGTGTGTGTGTGTGTGTGTGTGAGTAAATGTGGTAACAAGCAGCAGGTGTGTGTTTGCTGTCATCAGGTATGATGAACGTGAACAACCAGTTTGAAAGCGTTTGAAGCGCAATTCAAGCCTGGACGTCGGCCAGCTCATCTTCTCCAAAAAATATATCAGGACGTGTCTAACTCGTGAGGCGAGACTATTTTTTACACCACTGAGGGATCATTACGATGTGGTGCGATTAGGTGCAAGTTGAAACAGAATTAAGGAGAAACATGAGGCATAAGGTGACGCCAGGAAGGGCCTCTGCAGGCGCTGGGAGCGTCTTCGTAGCATCGAGGAAGTTGGTGACAGCAGCGGCACCGAATGTGAGAAGCAAACCCGCCGAGTCAAACCCCCGGAGCCATTCGTCTTTGTCCTCTTTTGTCAAGCGCAGTAAATCAGTAAGTGTGCAGTGAAACTGAAGTCCGAACAGCTGGGCTCACGGCGCCGTGTTACCTGTGAGGGTACACTTAGCAGTCGGCTCTGACAGGTCTTGGGCTGCGATACACATTAGAGGAAACAGACCTTTCTCTCTCTCTCTCTCTCTTTCTTTGTGTCTGTACCTTTTTGCTTTTTCCTTTTCTCCCCGTCAAACTCATCTGCGCGACTGTCTTCGATTGTGACCGTCTGCCTCAGACTTCGGGGGCCACTTCATAACAGTCTTGTGCACGGGGCTGTGGGATGATGTGCTGTCAGTGCTTGACGACTGGTGTTGGGCAAAAAAAAATGAAGTCATGATTCGTTTCTTTGAGCCAAAGTTTCCGTGGACAGACGTTTGGAAGGAACTCTGACCTTAGGGTTTGGAGAGATTTGCTGTTCTAAATAAAACAACAGAAATTGGGAAATCTCCCAGCCCCTTGTTTCGTTTTCATTTCAGTTGACTCTTTCCAACCTTTTGTTTTCTCTCCTTCTGCCCGCAGGGACCACAGACCTCTTCAACCAGAGGACCAGCTTCCCGTCTCTGTCGCCGCTGACCGACCCCCGCTTCTCAGACCCCCGCATGCACTACCCGGGGGCCTTCCCCTACTCCACCAACACCTCCAGCACCGGCATCAGCGGCCTCAGCATGTCGGCCTCTTCTCGATACCACACCTACCTGCCTCCACCCTACTCAAACAACCAAAGCCAGAACTTCCAATCCAACCCCTACCTGTACTACGGCACAGGCTCCGGGTCCTACCAGTTCTCCATGGTGGCGCAGGGGAACACCGGGGGCGAGCGCTCCCCCACCCGTCTGCTGTCCTGCTCGGGGGCCACGGGCCCCGGCGGGACCAACGGCCTGATGAACCAGGGCCTGAACAACCAGAGCGAGGGCGTGGAGGCCGACGGCAGCCACAGCAACTCCCCCACCGCCATGAGCGCCTCGGGCCGCCTGGACGAGTCCGTCTGGAGGCCTTACTGACTGACCGGCTAGACTATCGGAGGGCGCCGGGCAGGTGAGGGAGGGAAGAGTAAAAGAGAACAAGAAGACATGAAACACTGAAAGTCTCTCCCTCTCCCCCCTATAAAAAGGAGGAAAGAAATTACAGAGAGAGAAATGCTGCATGTTTGACTTTTATTTCTCCAGCACTCACTTTAAAAACTCTGTTCTGTTTTACCGACTCTCTCTAGACTTGTGTATTTTTTACATTTTGAGTAAACTGCTGCACTGTGCTAAAACATGTACTCTTAAGAAAAAAGCAAAACAAAGGACTGTAAAAGCCATAGAAGTTGAGGGGACATTCAGCTGAAAACTGTAAATAGATGAGACGAGGGTGAGGCCAAAGAAGCAACAGTAACATTTCAGGACGGTTTGTTTCGAGGCAAACAGCCACTCGGTAGAAGACAAAAGAACAAAACAATGGCGGACTGATCAATTGGTCACGGCGGATGAACTGGACATTGATCAAACTGATCCTTGTCACCTGGTCGGAGACGCTGACATCCTACGAGAAGCATGGCTGCGCCGCTGTAGCAATCGGCCCCTTCTGAAGCTTTCATTTCTGTGGAAAGGTGAACGTCAGATGTGAAAACATTCATTGGTTGAATCCAGGACGACTCACGCAGGACCTTCGTTTCCTAACTTATTAACCAAAAAGGACACATTGGCCTTTGGTGCTACGTCGTGCAGTGGATGTTTTTGACACAACGGGCGCATGAAAACAGCATTTTGATTGGTCGGGACTCAAGTGTAAGTAATGGATCTTCCTCGGCCGCGTCGTCGGCGCATCGAGTTCCATCAGGACAACGGCTGATATGTTGAGGATTGTAAAAGACTAACACAAAGGGGTATTAATTGGTTTCCTTTTTTTTGCAGGAATATTTCAATCCTGCTGTGTCTATTCTTTTACTTTTTCCTTACATTTCGTATCCAAACCCTTTTTCTGAAAAAAAGTTAGTCTGGTATTTTTGAACTGGATGACACGGTTTACTTTTGATATTTATTTGAGCCAAATTGTGAGGAAATGTCCGTATATAAACCCCAAATCCTCAAGCATTTCTCTCTACCTTTCCTTTTTTATATATATATATATATACAGTACATATGCCTTATTTTGTTGTTAAGTATAAATTTGGAATTTGTGTAATATATTGCTACTAAATTATGAAAAAAACAACCTTTAATGTAATTATTTTGTCTTCCAATGTAGCTTTGATGCACTAAAAACTTTTATTCCTTATGAACCACGCCCAACGGATCGTCTGTTAGTTATCCAGAGCCGCAATCCTTCCTTCCCGCGCTAAATAAGCCATTTGCTTAATTTTTGCACTATGTTTGAATTTGATTCTCTTTTTTTAATATGTATTTACAAATATCTGAAACTCTGCCTAAGAAAAATATTCCTTCACTTGATCTGCTGAACACACTTTAAGTGTCCTTTTAAACAAACCCTTTGCCAATTAATTAACAGTGTCACGATTAGACACACACACACACACATTCCTGCGTTACAGGTGTGTGTGAACATTCCCCCTGTCCAGAGGGCCTTTCCCCTGCAGTTGTGCACATGTGATCCTTCTACGCCTGGAGGAGGATGAGTGTGAGGATGAAGGGACAGGTGGAGGAGGTGGAGGAGGAGGAAGAGGAGGAGGGGTTGGAGTGGTATCTTCTTACCGGCACCAAGGGCAGTTATGCAAAAAGAAAAAGAAAAAAAAACTTCCCTTGTTGTGCACAGTTCCCTTTGTTCTGTAAAGTCGGGGAGCGCTTTGAAGCCTTTATGGCCCTGATTCTTTCTTTTCTGGTCTAATTTACCGATCAACAGTGCCAGCGGCTCAGTGCTCTGCCAATAATTCACCCGCCTGCGCAGAACCCCTGGGTATGAGCTGTGTGAAGGCCTTCGCAGCAGCTATCAGGTGTCTTATATCTACTAGAAAACACTTCTAAAGGGGGGAAAGATTTCATTTCAAAGTGAATAGTGATCTAAAAAGGCTTGTATTTACAGCTCAGGTGAAAAAACTAATTTTAATAAGTTATGCAAGGTGTTTTGTACACGTCACGTAAACACCCCCTCTCTTATAGCTCTTTTGTTGTTAACAATCAGAAATAGTGTCTCTTTGTTTTAGAGGAACAGCATGTTTCCCTGCTCTCTCCTCTGGAGTCTTTATACAATAGAGGACCTTTCTTTATTACGGGCAAAAATCATGCAGCTAGGGAAACCACATGGGTGCTTTGTAATACTTGTGTGGTTCCTTAAAAAGAAAAAAAACCAAAGATCTTCACAACCGCCTGTGATACTTTCAGGATGATGGGAAAGACGTTTGGCTTTCTTTATGCAAGACCAGGACGCCAAAATGTTCGAGTGAGTTTCATTGTTGTTGGATTAAAGAGCACAATGTTACGTCTTTTTCTCCATCGGTTTCCTTTTCATATACCAACATGTTAAATTGTCTTGCTCCTTTCATTTCTCTTGAAGCTCAAAGCATGTACATCAGAAACTGATATGTTAATTTAAGGATCTCATCTATGTATGTAACGGCATCGTTTATGCTTCCATATTGAGTGCTTGTAAAGTTTGCGGATAATGTAGTTTTCAATCATTTTAATTAAAAAAAACATGTGTCTGACTTTTGTCTGAACAGCTGAGCTTTTTTTTTTAAGTTATGACAACAAATCATTTTTCCTTTCAGCTTTTCTTGAATATATAAATATATATATATATAATTTAAATCCCACCCACATTTGAGTTGGTTCTGCATTTATGGCCACATTCTTCAACATCATTCACATTGCTATAAAAACTGTTGCACACCATAACAGTTTTCAGATTTTGAAACTCAATGCTCAAAAGTCTGGATTGCGACATCTTTTATGGTTTAACGGGCTGGGGGTGTTGAGAGGGAAAACATTAAACATGGAGGTACGGGCATAATTCATACCCACAATCCCAGACGCCATCGCATCAGCTGACAAAACGAGCAGCAAAAACCCCCCCAAAAAACATTCGCATTTCATGCCAGCACATTCTAATCTGGAAAATTCTGCCCTTCCTTCTCCTCCGGCACATGACGCCCGTGCCGCTGCCTCCACCCCGCGCCGCCGGCAATTCATTGTGTCCCCACAACTCCTCCTTTAATAATTGACCTCCCTTCTCTCCCACTGGCCAGACTCTCGCCGGCAGTCTCTCACGCGTCTCTGGGTTCCTGAAAAGGCCTCGGCTGCCGGCCTGTTTGGTACCCGGAGCGCAAATAAAGCCACACTGGCCTGGCAGCCTCCGAGTCGGCGCGCCTCGGCGAGTTGTCACTCGCTTGGAACGATGCGGCAGCCGCTTGGAATGTCGGCCCTCTTGTTTGTGTATTTTTTTTTTTTTTACCAGCTATGCCGTTGTTAATTTCCGCGGCGCGCTGATGGCATCCGTTTGGCCCGTTTCGGGGCCCGAGCCGAGAGATTAAAACGCTTAGAGATGCTACCTTGTGGGGTGGTCTGATTTCACGTGTGTCATGTGGTTAACCTGAAATACAACACCCACAATGCCTCCCTCTCAAACTAATGCCACCTGTTGATGTACCATGAAAGGGCTTTCACTACGAAACGCTTTTGTTTTCTCCTCCTTCATGTTAGTCACTCTTTTATTCCCCCTATTTATACTCTCCTGCCGTGCATCTACGCTCGTTCCTCGTCTCTTTCATCCACTCTTCTCATTCGACCTCTCCCTTCTTTTCTTTCTTTCTTTCTGTGTGGCTTCGGCTGTGTCTGCGTCGGGCCTTCTATGGGGGCAGCGCTGGCAGAACAACAAAGCCTCGGGACGCGCACACGCAGCCACGATACACACTGTATTCAATTAACTCTGCACACTCAAAAGCATTTCTGAGCACGCACAAGGCGCACACACACACACACACACACACACACACACACACACACACACACACACACAAAATCCCCTGCGGACAGATCTCACACCGGCCTCCACCCGGACGGCCTGAGCTCCACTTCACAGCGCGGGCGTACAGCAGATCTGCACCGGCTTAAACCTTCTCGGATATTTCCTCCAGGTCTCCTCACAGGAGTCGCCCCCCCCCGCCGATCCCCCCACCGCTCAGGAAGCACAAAGAGAAGATGATAAGCTTTCAATTAGGTCGGGCTCAAGGGAAATTTTCCAGCTGTCTTCACACACTCTGCGAGGCCCGACTCTCCCGTACACATGTGGGGAGCAGAGGAGCTCTCATCTGGCTCCGTCTTTGTCACGGACGTGCACCAGCAGTCCTTTTTTTCTCTCTTTTTTTTTTTTTTTTGTTTTGTTTCCATCCTCTCACTGTTCCCCGCTATGCTGTTCTTCTTCCGAAAACTGTAACTGCACAGGAAAGAGGGGATGTGCTCTGCCTGGAAGAGGCCGCTTGTCTGGATGTAATTGTATTCAAAAGGCATGATGAATTGGTTTATAAGACGACAGAGACAATTGCTTTTTAAGTGGATGAAACATAAAGAGAACTGGGGGCATGATTGTGAACGTCGCAGAAAAGGGGAAACTAAAACAATGAGGATCATTGAGGGGAGAAATTACTTTGGCAAGTCAATAACGTGTTCTGGTGAACAGCACAGTGTCTCAAGCCGAACAGTTTATCTTCATTTAATAAGGAAGAGAGAGATTCAGGAATCAGAACATTTTTTCCCAAAATATGTCAGACATACGAGGAATTTGACTAACATCAGACAGTAAGACAATGGACAACAAGACAACAAGCCCTATTTATACATTTAAATGAGATACGGGATAGGAAGAGATGCAGGAGGCCGAAGGAAAGGACACAAGAGAGGGAGTGTTTTGAAAAAGAGCTCAGAATCGTAAAAAAAAAAAAAAAAAACTCTCATTTCTCATGAACACAGTATCCCGTGATGCTTCTGCGGTACCTGCATACGAAACCCATTAGGGCCTCCTCTGCAGCCGCTGACCTCTCCTCCCCCGAACCCGTGAGAAGGAGCGGGCTGGAACCAGCTCGTTCTGGGTGCCTGGTACACGACCAGAAGTCTATTTTCTAACCGAACTGGTGGTGGGAACAGAGGCTGCCGTCCAAAAT